AAGTTTGTGGCAAGGTGTAACACTAAATTAGCATAAATATGTTACGAGCTAATTAAACAAATACTTTTGCGCGAATTGAATCGCTTTGCACGTTCAGAGTGGGTTTTAAGTCTCTGATGAAAAGCATTTCGTTCACCAAACAATCGAACTTGTTACTACACTTTTTCAGAATGCTAAAACGTTTCAGTAGGTCTTTCGGGACTTCGCTGTGCCGTTCGTGGTAGTGTTTATATATTGAAGATGCCTTTCGTTTATGTCCATCCACGCGTGTGTGTAAGTGTCCGCGTGTATAGCCCACATAACCCGCATCACACAGGTCACATTGAAATTGATAAACGACGCGTTGTTGGTTGACAATCTGTGGCTTGATTTCTCGTACTTTAAGATCTTGGCCAACTTTGCGGCTAACAAATACTGGCTGGACAGTTGTCTGCACCTTCATGCTAAGATTCTTGAGCTCTTTCTTAACATAATTTGCTGATTCCTGATCTTTGAAAGGTATGACCACACGAACAATGGATATTGGTTCTTTGGGCGTCTGTGTGGGCTGCGTACCAACAATTCTTGATTGTAAGAAGGTGTTAATGGTAGAATTTACCAGGCGTTCCGGGTATTTAAGCCGTGCGAAAACTTTCTTTAGGCGATCACACTCATCAGAGAAATGGGCCCAGGAGGAAGATAATCGGTGTGCGCGATCCAGCATAGTTTTCAGCAAGCTCCGTTTGTAGCGATTGTCTACATGGCTTTGGTAGTGTAATAGTAGGCCCGTGTTTGTTGGTTTCACATATACCTTGGTTTCAATCCGAGGTGCATGGTTGAGTAGTTCGGTGCCAAGGAAAGGAAGCTTGCTGTTCTTCTCCACCTCCATGGTGAATTTGACCGAAGTGTGGGCGCTGTTGAGGGTATGCAAGAAGGTAGTTGCTGTTGCTAGATCGGGCATTACAGTGAGTGTATCATCAACATATCGACGATAATAGGATGGGAGTTTTCTTTGTCGCTCAAGGGTATCTTCGATGGATGACATAAAGACGTTTGCTAATTACATGCCTGAAAATACGAGTAATAGTGCGTTACATCAATTTCGATGAAAACGAAGGATATCCTATTTACGAGTTTAAAAGATCAAATTTCATCTGATGCCCAGTTTCTTGATCAAATTTGCTGCTCCTATTCAAGAAAGTTACTCTATGTCGCTATAGATCTCTTCCCTTTACAATCATTTATTGGAATAACAAAATCTGTTCCTTGATTGCATGAAAATAATGCTGATTTCCAAAATAAAATATGAGTTTGTTCGTACGTAATGGAGCTCCATCTTTCGATTATGATGTGTTGTATATTACTTCATCAGCTTTCCTTACCCAAAGAGTGCCGAAATTAAACTCCAATAAAGCTCTTTTTCAAGAATACTTTTCTCCTCGTCGTAACTAATGAAAAAAAAGTTCAAATCGTTTCTCGTTTTGTTAAGAATGGCGTTGATCACATTAAAGCGAATACCATATAAACTCTTCTTAATAAACTCTTCTTAATAAATATCTGCTGAAGCTATTTAAGTATTTTTGCCATTTGGAAATTCCATGCGTCTCTGTATGGAGAAAAACCCCGTGTATCCTGCAGGAATTTTATAAATAAAATGTTGCTGAATCAGTTCTCTGTAAGTCGGGACCGTAGAAGAGAAATGTAAGTCTCTCTCTCTCTCTTTTTCAGCCTCAGCATTTTCCGCCGCCCTCACCGAATTCAGTAGGCGAGGCTATATACTACGGTTCAGATAAGACAAGCATCGCACATGAAACTAGAGTCAGTAATGTTGTAGTGTCATAGATCTGCCATGAGTATGTAAATCAGCTACGTTAAGGTCTGTTCATTATGATAATCTACACATTGAAAAATTATTCTGTCGTTGAAACTGATTTTTATTTTGTCGTTTACTCTGAGTGTTTTCTCGGTCGTCGGATTAAAAAACGATTTTATTCATTTCCATAAGTGTGTAAAATCTGAGCCTTTTTGGGGATTCAATCTCTAAACCTGTAGATTTAGACGTTTTAATTTTCCTTATTCGACAATGGAGCTCGAAGTTCACTTTCCCTCATTATCTATTTTCAGACGTGACACTTTTGATACTGCAGATCTTGGCAGTATGCAGGACGCTTGTCATATATTTACCCCGAGTTTTATGTCTTGCTTGATTTAATAGGGACCTTCAGATCCGACTACGAGTACGAGTACGAGTACGATTTTTGCGCACGGGAGTCCTGGGGCTTAGTTGTCGTAAACACGGTCGTCGCCGTCGTCAGCTCGTAACAAAAATGTTTCAGTAGTTGTTTTGAGTACGAAGTGGCGACATTTTGTCGGTCGTGGAAATTTTTAGCAGACAAACCACACAAGATGCTCTGGTAGTTATGTTCATGGAGGATATCATCGATGAAGTCGAGTTTTCGTTGCTTTTCGAAACGGTGAACAAGAACAATCCGGCCTTTCCCTACTGGTCATACGATCGCTTTGACTTGACTCGCGTCAGGGACGAAGAATGTAAGGCTGAACTTCGTTTTGGACTCGCTGAACTGCCCCTGTTGGCAAAAGTTCTGGCCATTCCTGATACATTTATACGTAGAAACGGGACTGTGGCAACTGGCATGGAAGGTTTCTGCATTATTTTACGAAGATTTCCATACCCTTGCAGATTGAGCGATTTAATTTCAAGGTTTGGGAGATCTGTACCTGAACTAAGC